TATTTGAAAAGGAGGTTGCAGTCAGAATAGATCATTCTTACAACCCAATCCAAGTTCTTAAACATGGACCTCCTGTCCTGGAATCTGCTCAGGGGCACAGGAGAAGATGCTAGGAGAGTCGCCGTGGAAACCACAGAGAGCCACGTCTGCACACCTGCTAAGCCAGTTAGTGCCAAGCTAATGGCCACGGAGCCACTAGGACTCATGCTTTGCTTCTGGGTATAAGATGGCAGGAACTTAAGAGGCTGGCAATTTCTCGTTGAAATGTAACGAGTACTTACCATGGCCAGCACTCCGCTCCCGGGTTTGTCCCCAGGGAAGCAGACGCATGTCCCGTTCTGAGGAGAGGGAGCAGCCAGTGTCCATGCCAGGTGAAGGGATGAACACTGGTGAGTCAGAAAGTGATAGAACATGTGTAGCGTGAAGAGGACACGCAGCCACATGGCTGAGTCTCGACCACGTGCTGCTGAGCACAAGGTGCCAGGCAGCCTTGCTGTCTCCCCGCCCGCCCGCTCGGGAGCTCGGGGACGCCTCGTGCCCAGAGTTGGTGCAGAGGCGCTGCAGCGGCTGATGGACATGCTAGGAAGCCATACCATCGTTGCTTATGCATTTATGTGACTTCTCGCCCGTGCAGTCCCTCTGGGACGTGTGCATTGGAAGAGATAACCCTGGGGAAGGCCCAGCAAGGAGGGGTGCCTGCCCGCGGCACGTTCTGCAGGCAGCACTTATTCCTGAGGTGCCTGGCCATGGTTCCCGCTGAACGTGGGCTGTGGGGTTCTCAGAAGAGACCCAAGCTGATTCAGCCAGGAGCAAATCTGAACCAGCACCGGCTCTTGGACCCCCAGAGCCTGCGTTCTGTGTGCGGCGTTCCCGCTGCGTTGGGAGGCGGGCCCCTGCAGGGCTCCTTCTGCGGACATGACATGGTTTGTACGTCCGTCCGTGGCTGGCAGCTGGGCTGGGCTGGCCCTCAGCCCTCCGGTCTCAGTCCTTGCCAGGAGCTGGTCCATCTTTGCTGTTTCAAGGGACCTGCATATATGGCATACTGTTCTTAATATGTTTGCTCACCTTCTTGGCACTATGTGTTTTAACCAAGGTCACCTCTCTGAGAAAGGTTGTTTCCCCAGGTAGGGATTTTCCCCTGAAGTTAGGGAGGGAATAAAACCTCTTAACCCCTTCCCCAGCAGAACTAAACCGAACCTGGCTGGAGAACCTAGCGAGAGAACATGGCTACAGAACCTGGGGAACATGGCTACAGAATCTGGCTGGAGAACCTAGCAAGAGAACATGGACACAGAACTTGGCTGGAGATTGTGGCTAGAGATCCTGGTTAGGCTGCTGATCAACTGAACGCTGTCTCCTTGTCATTCCTTCTTCGCCGACTTTGTCCACACCTTTGGGGACCCCTGGACCTGCTGGGGTTGGACCCCAGCAAGTCCTCACTGCCCTTGGCTGCAGCACCAGGGACAGCGCCAGCCCATGGCCCAAGGCATGTGACCCTCCCGCCTCTGCGGCTTCCGCCCCTGTGGGAGCCTCTGAAAGAGAAGTGGGCACTGACCATGCTGGTCTGGGGTCTGCGGGGCTCTGTACCCCACAGATGAGAAGCCAATCCCCTAAGAGGCCGCCAGGGGGACCTGCTGGTGGTGAACTCCCCAGCACTTTGGTAATGTGGACAGTCACATGAGATGGAAACTCGCCTCCTGTTAATCCCCGGAGACGCGGCTGCCCCTTCCTCCCCGCTCTGGTGTGTGCTTTCCCTCCTCTTTCAAGCTTCCTAAGGCAGCGGCCTGTTCTGTGCTTGTGTGGTCGGTGGGGCGGGTCCATGCCAGGCAGATGGCACCCACTCCTTATGTCCTTGCAGATGTGTGTGCGGCTCCCGGCCTCAGAACCACCAAGAGCCTTTCAGGGCAGGACGCTGGCTGAGCGGAGCCCCTTCGACTGTGATGGGGTGGCATGGCTCACAGGCCACCTGGGAGTGAACTGCTGCGCCCAGGCCACACCCCCTTCGCTGACCCAGAACGTCTGGGGCCGCGTGCTGCCCGGGTTGTGGGCCTCTGCTGGGTCCTTCCGCAGCCCTTGCCCTGGAGACCCCGGGAGCTCTGAGGCCGCCGCCGCCCGCTGTCTGGCCCGCAGCCCCAACTTAATGGCACTACCAGGGGCCCTGAGGCCACAGGCCCCCACTGAGCCCCGACATCCACTGACACCACGGGCGCCGGGATTTCCGTAGGTTTACACGTTTCTTGCCACGTACCGGGCAGTTTAAGGGTCAGATAAAAAGCTCTATGGAATCCAGAGCGATTTCCGAATGTGTGTTTTGCCGGGATTTTTGAAAACTGAGCGAAAAGCGACCCAGAGGCGTGTGGCCGGCTTGCTGATGTCTTGACGCACAGGCAGGGCCGCAGTACTGACCCTCTCACCGCGATGAACGCTGCGAGGCATGGAGCCCAGGCTCCGGGCTCTTAGAGGCTATTTGTGGGTCCCCACGGCGACTGCTCCCATCACGCATGAGCCTTTCAAACGCCAGTGGCGCTTTAAGAATCCAAGGCCTCACAGGGTCGGCTCAGCAGCCTCCTGGGCTCACACTGCAGCCGCCTGTGGGGAGCAGGGCGGGCTCGGTGCGGGCTGGGGCTGGGCCAGAAGTGTGTCCGCCAGGGCCTGACCCCACTTTCCTCCCAAGACGAGAACTTCCAGAAACCATCGTCAGAGACCCCTGCATGCCAGGCAGGCCTTTCCCCGCTCCTCCGGACACCAGCACAGACGTTCCACGAGTGGACGTGCCCGTGGCGGGAGACACGCCCGTGCTGGGCCCCCTCCCCCTCTCCTTCCCCGGTTTCCATGTTTGGAGAAACATTTTGAAACGTGGTGGTGGTGAAGTCAGGACCGATTACATGTCCTGTCGCTCAGTAAAGCCAGAGAAAGTAACTTAATGCGACTCAAACACACTGACCCTGGGAGCGCCCTCCAGGCCTGGCTACAGGGTTTGCCGGCCGGAGGCCTCTTGGCGTCGTTGGCGTCGTTGGCGTCGCTCTTCCTGGCTTTGCGTCCACACCCTCCCGTCTCCCCTCCTGAGACCGTGAGGTGGTGTGTGTCTGCACCTCGCAGTCGGTGCAGGTGTGCGGGCGGCATGGCCACTGGGTCCCCCATCCCCTCATCTCCCGTCGTGTCGTTAGGAGCGGGTGGGGCAGGCCTCACTGCCTGTCCCGGAGCTCAGGCCCGGCCTCTCATGCGTGGGTACACTCGTCCCCCATCTCGCGGCTCCCCTTCACCAGCTCGCCCCCTGCGCGCTGTCAGTCTTCCAGGAAATGGGCGTCCTGGGCTCCCGGAGAGCAGGCGCCGTGGTGGCTGGTGCCATGGCCGGAGGTTCCGGAAGCAGCCGTGTGTCTGCTCAGAGCGGAGCGGCCTGGTGGGAACCGGAGGCCTCCACTTGGGCTCCGTGACCTGGCGGGACCTGGCCCTCTGTCTGCACTGAGCCGGGCACAGCAAGACTCTCTCCTCAGTCACGGCAAGCGGTGCCCGGGCTGGTTCCTGGCGCCAGCACACAGTGGGCCCCCAGTCACTGCGGCTGCTGGGTAAGGGACCGGGTGTGGGGTGAGGAGGGTGAGTGAGGACTCAGGCCTGTGGCTCGTGGGAGGCCTGCAGGTCATCGGAAAGGAACCAGCGGGTGGTTGGTCTGAGGGCTGGAGCTCTGTGCCGAAGCCGGGAATGAGCCGTGGTGGTGGGAGGGAGCTTGCGGTGGGAAGAGAATTCTCGGATAGCCTGGCCTGGTGGAGAAGGTGGGCCCACGCCCAGGGAGGGGCAAGGAGCAAACCCAGAGAGGGGTCCCGGGGCCCAGGGGCTTGGGCTGCGGGGTGGGAGGGGCTTGGGCTGAGGAGTCTATAGCTGCTGAGGAGTCCATCGGGCTGAAGGCTCTTCCGCCGGGTGCCCGTGTGAACACCTGGCAGCATGCCTGGGGCGCAGGGCCTGTCCCCGCCCTGGGCAGCCCTGGTGCTGCCCTATCTGCACACTGAGCTCAGGTCACAGAGTAGGTGGCGGAGGTGGGATTTGCCCGGGGAGCACCGTTCTATCATCTTGTCTCCCTCCCTCCACCCGTCCGGGCACAGTCCATAGGTGGGGAGTGCCGGTCAGACTGCTACGGAGCCTGACGCCTGGCCTCGGCCGGCGCGTCTGGGACTCAGCCCCCTCCCGTGCCAGCGGCTTTCGTTCTGAACGTGAGCAGCTTTAAACGTGCTGTTTTCAGACGATACTGCAGCCGTGCTTCTCACACCGACCTGGGCCCTGTCTGCTCCGTGGTCAGTGATGGAACATGCCAGCAGCAAGACTGGCAGGCGTGGCCGGAGTGGGAACTGCGTGAGGCCTGAGCTCAGAGTTCCGACAGGGGCTGCGTGGGCTCCGCCATCAGCGTCCCTGCGAGGGCGCAGGGCAGGGCGTGGGGACTCCGGCCACCGTGAGCCACACAGAGAAGCTCCACTACAGTCAGGCGTCTTCGTTCCCGCCCCCCGGTCCCGAGAGCTCCCACTGCCCAGGCCTGCGCCTCCCGTCCGCGGTGCCCTGACAGCCCTGTGCCCGTCCCTCCCGCCGCGTGCTCGGGGGCCGTCGGGGTTCTGCTGGGTTCCCCCCTGTGGGCCGTGGTGCCGCATGGGGAGCCCTCCCCGGGCCTGTGACAGGCTGCCCGGCACGTGCGTGGGGGGTGGGGCGAAGGCCGTGAGGGACCCGCTGTCCGGGCAGCGGGAGCGAGGACACCGTGTTCACTGTGCTGCACAGCTGGGTGTTGCCAGCAGCTCAGAGGCCTGACCGAAGCCGGCCCGTTAGAGCTGCTGGTTTAGCTCCTCAGACCTATGAGTTGTTGGCTTCAGAGACTGTCAGTGTCTGTGCCGCCACCTGCTCTGGGTCCTCAGATTGGGGCTCACTGGCTGTGCCACCTGCCCCCCCCAGAGAGGGCGTGAGCGTCGCCATGCCTGTTCCCCACGATGTGCTCAGGCCTAACCCTGTGTCTCTGCCCACAGCTCTGCCGCCAGGAGCGCCACCTGTCCGCGGGGCAGTACCAGGGGACGCTGTTCGCCGATCAGCCCACGATGTTCATCTCACCAGCCAGCGACCCCCCCAGAGCTAAGCTGTGGGAGCTGGTCCTCCTGTGTGGGGGTCGGGTCACCGGGGTCCCTCGCCAGGCCAGCCTCTTCATCGGGCCCTGCCAGGGGAGGAGGAAGGAGACCGTCACGTACCTGTCGGAGAAGTGGATCCTTGGTAGGAACCTGCTCGGGGTCCTGGGGGACACACATGTGAGGTCAGGGGGCACCCCTGACTGCAGGCTCAGGGATAGCCGGGGTCCTGGGGATTCAGGGAGGTTGGGGGCACCTCTGAGTGTAGTGTCGCCTGGCGTTCCCTGAGAGCGCTGTCTGGGATAGGACAGGGCTCTCCAGGGGGAAGCCTCCTGCCCACGTCCCTCCACGCGCCTGGGCCTTGGTGGACGTCTGTGTCCACGCGCCTGCCCGGCAGAACCCTGCAGTCATCCCTCACGGCTGACGTGGACCTGCCTGCTTCTCACTGTCAGCCCAAGTGCCGCCCGCGGGGCAAGGAGCCCTCTGAGACCATCTACCCAGAGCTGCCCCAAATCTACGACTCTGTCCCCTAACTCTTAGCTCCTGCCCCTCCCCCAGCGCCTGCTCCGCGCCCCATCCCTCCCCTCCCCACCTAGGCCTGCTCTGCCTCTGGGAGGCCCTGAGAACAGGTGCCGCTGCCCCACAGCCAGGCTCTGGGAGCGGCTGTGTCCCCCTCAGTCCCCAGGTCCGTCTTTCCTGACACGCGGGACACCAAGGCCACGACTCCAAGTGACTCGTTCAGCCAGCAGGAGAAATGGGGATTTTCTTAGAGAGAAACCCGTCTGGGCATTTGTATGTGTATGAAAATAAACAGAAAAACAGCGTTAAACTCCCAGCACCAGGAACGAGGCGTTGCTTTTACCTGGATGTGATGCTTTCGTACTTGAAGGCGTTCCCAGGAGCTTCACTCGCCCGCACAGGCCTGAGTGCGTCTGTGAAACGGACGCGCGGCCGTGGCGTTCCTGGGCCGGCGTTTCTTTACATGCCGACCACAGCTCCCGCACCCTCACTGGTGCGGGCGTCACCCACATGGTCCGTTTGGTGGTCTGAGGAGCTAAACCAGCAGCTCTAACGGCACCGGCGGCTGCCGAGCGTGGGGTGCGTGTGCCTGAGGCTGGTCTGTCCTTGTGTTCCATTTC